GGCATCAAGGCCACCTTGGACTTCATCAGCAGGACCAAGGTTGGCACAAGGAGGTGGCATCTTGGGCCGTCTTCAGAAGACCAGGCATAGTGTTGCCATAACATCTGCTCTTTCCTTTGTTTGTTTGTTTGTACTACTTTTGTTTCCAGCAAGTTTGCTCTGGGCCTGAGCCCTCACCATCCCTTGTACCTCCATTGACCTCACTCTCATGTAACTGAACCTTTGCATTACCAGAGGAGCTACTGCTCCTCTTGTCTTCCATAGTCTTAGACTCAGACAGGACGTTGAACCAATCAATCAATCAATCAATCAATCAATCTCGGCTGCTGATGTGTGGGCAAATAGGCTACAACAACCCTTACTCCGGCAGAACATACCCCTCCAAAGCAAAGTTATGAATACCACTTCCCACGTTGACTGTTTCCTTCCTCTCATCGGGTAGCACAATATCTGCCCTCGCATTAGGCGGGATCTGCACCTCCAACTTGAACCCAGCATCCGTGACATTCCATGTGCTTCTGACCACCCCGTACGGGCTCAAATATGTCGCATTCGCGCTCGTAATGTTGCCTCCCGGCTCCGGTGCCATAAGCGTGGTCTTCCAACCCGGCTCGCCTGGCGCTAGTCCTCCAATCTTTTGATGCATCCAGTCTGCCACACTGCCGAACGCGTAGTGGTTGAAACTAGTCATTTCACCAGGATTGATACTGCCATTAGGCAACATGGAATCCCAGCGCTCCCAGGTCGTTGTACCGTTCATGACGACTTGGTAGAGCCAGGAGGGTACTTGGGTCTGGAGAAGCATTTTGTAGAAGGTGGAGGTGCTGTTGATGCTGGACAGGGCGAAGCCGAGCTGCTGCGTACCTGCGAACCCGGTACCTACCAGGAAGGAGTTGTTTGCGATGATGGAATTCAGTGTTGAGGCGGCTTCCGGGCGCCTCGCATCGTCGAAGATGTCGAAGCGGATACCGAGGGTGAGTGCGGTTTGGGTTACGTTGGCAATGATGCCGGTATCTGCATAGGGCTCAATCCAGGCATCGTAAAACGCAGATATCAACTTCTCGCGGTCTGATGAGTACTTGACTGCCTCCTGGGTCTTATCAAGTGCACTGCTGATGTAGGAGAGCAATCGCGTCATCTGAATTAGGTACGCATCTGCCACCAGGTGCTTGGAGGTAGTCGCGTTGCTAGGGTTTTCAGGTGGTGAGAGCGGGTCTAGCCAGTCTGCGTATTGGAAGGTGCTTCTATTCCAAAGACCGGCTTCGTTGCGTGGAATGCCAGAGTCGATCCAAGCACGTGCGCCAATGTATTGCTCTTCAAGCATACGCTTGTCTCCAGTTGTTTGGTAAAGAGCCCAGGGGTTGCCTACAATAACGTCTCCCCAGATGGCAGTCGGTCTCCTGAATGGGTTGCTGCCATTATTCTCGAAGTCGGGGTCGAGCGTGGGCACAAAATGCGGAACCCAGTTGAGTCCGCCCGTACTGCTCTCTGACCACAGATCCTTGAGCCAACTTCGCCAGAAACCAGAAGCATCGTAAAGGTAATTCGAAGTTGGCATGAATGCATGCGCGTCTCCAGTCCAGCCTAGGCGTTCGTCACGTTGTGGGCAATCAGTAGGCACACTGAGAAAATTGCCAAGCATGCTCCAAATAACGTTCTCATGAAATCGGTTCAGGAGCTCGTCAGAGCACTCGAAGTAACCTGTACGCTCCATGTCACTGTGAACAACCACAGCTGTGATGTGTTCAGCGTCCAATGCCGTCGAATTCGGCCAACCATTGACCTCAATGAAGCGGAATCCATGATATGTGAAGGATGGGCTCCAAGTTTGGTTATCTTTTCCGTTCAGGATAAAGGTGTCGATAGCCTTGGCTGAGCGAAGAGGCCTCACACCAATTTCGCCTTCGTCCAGGACTTCTGCATGCCGAATCGTAATGTTGGTGCCAGAAGGCCCTTGTACATTGAATCGTAACCAACCAACAAGGTTTTGACCGAAGTCAATCAAGGTCTTTCCGCTAGGAGAGTAGAACACTCTTTGGGGGTTGATCGTCTGTATTTCGCGCATAGGAGGGCCGTCCGGTGGAGTAAGCATCCCTTTCAACGCCGGAAGCTGCTTCACACCCAGCCACTCACTGTCGTCGAACGTTGGTCCGGACCAATTGTCAATTTCAAGTCTTGAGTCGTAGACTTCGCCATCATATAGCTGTGCTGAGACGGTTGGACCGTCAGCACTAGCATGCCATGACAGATCAGTCTTCACTATTTGCTTGGTACCACCTTGATTAGTGATAGACAGTAGTGCGAGGAGACCAATGGTGTCGCCGTATATGTTCCCTTGTTGCTGGAAGCCAAAGCGTCCTGCTTCGCGTTAGTGCCAGAACAATTGGGGGCTTGACACAAGGCCGTAATTTCGCAAGAGAATGGGAGGCAGTCAAGGCAGAATTGCGCAGGTTTCGTGCGTCTATAAGTAGAATGAGAATTACAAAGTGCTTTTTTGGTTGGTAAAGACCGTCTGCAATATGCTGAACACCACATGGCTTCAGTGAAGTAGCCGAGCATTGGCAGTTGTTGCGTATGAAATAAAACATGACATACCTGACCACCAGCCTTCTGCGACAGTAACACCAATGGCATTATCTCCACTGTTTAAGAGATCGGTGACATCATAGGTTTGATAAGTGTGCCTGAACTGGTACGACATATATCCGGGCGAAAGGACGTGATCGCCGACTCGCTGGCCATTGATCTCAGCCTCATAGATACCGAGACCTGTGATGTATAGTCGTGCAGACGTGATAGTGGAGTTGACACCGAATGTTTTTCGAAAAAGAACCGGTTTGTGGGTGGCATTGACCTCAGTCTCCCTGTCAGCAGCGATAGGAATCGCACCAGCCCAGTTTCCATCTAGAAGAGCAGCCTCTACAGATACAACATCTGACCAATCAGTGGCGGCTCCACTGCCATAAGCTCGAGCTCTGACTGTCGCTGACTCTGAGCTCGAAAGAGGTTCATCTGGCCAAGAGACAAGTGTCGATTCTGAAGAATTGGCATTGAAAATCCGCGGAACGCCTTCACGCGTTATCTCGATTTCGTAGCTGGTCTGTTCCCAATTGACGGCGGCGCCTTCGAATTTCCAAGAGATACGGGGTGAAGCCTCAGCAATGCCGAAAGCGTGATAGTGGTGTTCAAACGAAACTGAAGATATTGACACAGACATGTTGTCGTCCGTCGATGGAATGATGCTGAACTGCACTTGGATGCCTCCAGATTCCGCCATTATCTAGCTTTTATCCATCTTCTGACGTTATAGAACGTGACAAAATCTAGCTCAGATCCAAAAGTTTCGGTGCAATGAGTCGCGAAACTGTCTGGTCAAGCACGCTTACGTGGTGCAGCTGCATCATTCCCGACGTTGTACCGGAGGCATCGCCAGTCGGTACAAGTATTTTGTGTGCCCATGCCGATCTGCGGTGCGGGGAAATCTGGGGTAACATCTTGGCGGAGAGGAATTCCCACCACAACACGCCTCGGCAGATGCGCAACGGTACTCGACCCCTCCCACTCACACCTTGAAGGAATAGCTTCAGAGATCGCGAGCAGCGAGTTTTCCTCTTATGTCCTGAACCCGTCAGCAATTTGCATGCTCGATCGTTACATTTCGGACCGATCCTTGCACTTCGGAGCATTGTTCTCCTTTGTAAGAAGTAGAATACGGATACGACCGTACACGGCATGCACATGCGGTTTGAGTTGGTATGGTCGAACTAAGATCATGTCAAACATCGTCCTAGAAAAGAACCTCAGTCTTCAGCTGTCAACCCAACAAAAAGCGCTACCCAGCTCTCTCATTTGTTTCCAAGTCCGACCCAATCTTTGTGATTCCCGGTGTGTCGCAACAGAACAGGGAGTTTTTCCTGCCTCTTTGTATAGGCCTTTGTAGCATTTCATCCCATGTGAACCGTACATTGAATGCAACTTCCGAAGTTGACCTTGCTCGGTTACTGATTTGCACACTTGAAGTCCTTCTATCTTCGTCCTACTGGAGACATTGGAAGAAGGCTATGGAAAACTGTAGGTCGATTGATTGATTGATTGATTGGTTTAGAAAACTGTAGGTCTCCTCCTTGTCGGAGGACCAAGTTCTGTCTGATCCAGGTAAGTACAGGCATACAGTGACTGAACAAGGTCGTAAAGCATTAATGGCAGTCAGAGCCACATTCGAGACAGTACCCCATATACTTGGAGTAAATGTTCCGCGAGAACAGATTCAAAGACCGTGCGCCTGAGGAATCCAATGCGGGTCCACTGTGGCGACTGTACACTTCATAGATTGAAGCGCTGTCACATGGCCTTGGGGTACAATGCCACGCCCTCCGTGGTATATTAAGTACAATGTGGCGGGCACGGCGGGCTCAGAGTGCGCTAATGAGAATCCAAGCCAGGGTGAGCATCATGAGAGACTAGGGTCCAGACGTATATGTGTAGAAAGTAAAGAGTAAAATTGATAGATGAGATCTGTGAGGGATCGGCTACTTGGACAAACAAGGCTAACTGTAGAAGGTAATGGGTACCGGTGGAAATCACCTTCCAACAATATGCGAGCGCCTTGTTGCAGAATGTCCAAAATTGACGTTGGCTAGAGCCTAAGGCACTGCTCGTAAAACTGGAACCGTTCAGCGTCTTCTGAAAATCGGTCTGGTTGACAGCAATGGCGTTTGTTGGACCAAGGATGCAAGACTGTAAAGAGTAAATGTTCGCGTCACGTTCGTGCATCGTGACATCGTGAGGCGGTGTTCTCGGACCCCCGGGCTCCGATTTCCCCGACAAACAACACGTTCAGTCCCTCCGACGGTAACAACAACTCCCCACTCAGGACACGTTAAGCTTATCTCGCAGTCAATGTCGACATCAATTGCGCTGATTTATTGCGAATTCGTCCGCCTTGCGCTCGTGATCATGCCGGGGTCCACGAGCCGTGAACCTTTGTTTATGAGATGACCGCATCATTGCAGGCTGACAACTGCTCGCTCCACCCCTGCGTCACCGCGACCCCAGAGTCTCGTCTCAGGATGCGGGTGGATTCGCCGCCACATGAGCTCATGAAAAGGTGTAATGACGAGGTATTGTGTGCGGGACAATGACGCGCCCACACCTGCGTGACCATACATAAACGGTACATCCTCATTGTCTATAAGATCCATCCACTCATCATGTCTTCTGCAGCACTCAAGTTTCGCACGTTCACAAGACCCATCGTCCGATCCACACCAATCTTCCGCAACACCATCAGAATGTCTTCCACAAACGAGTACGGACAGGGCAAGTCCCACGCCACTGGCGACTCCGCCGTTCCTGGAAAGGTCCAGGAGCAGGCTCCCTCGGGTCTCGAGGAGGCTCTTCCCGACTCCGTACGTTCTACCGTCAAGTTTGAAGCATGGAATAAAAGTACTAACAGCTTCCCCAGGTTCATCCCACGGGTGGCAAGGCCGACCAGTCCACCTCCCAGACACACGCGAAGGACGGTGGTGACGCTTCCATCGTTCCCAAGAAGGTTCAGGAGATCCTTCCTGAGTCCGTCGAGCGCGCTGTTCCCAACGCGATTCACGACACTGGCGACAAATAAGCATCTCACTACGACAGTTAGACCCCCAAGATTGAGTGCAATGCGCTTTGATCGCAGCACCATAGCCATGTATCATAATTAAATGAACAATATTAAATTATCAATTGCTTCATCCTTCTGCTGTTGTGACATACTTCTGTATCGCCTACGGGTAGCCGTGTTTTTATTGGTCTGCGGGATCATTAGCACCGTACGTGGTCGACCTGGCTCTGAATTTGGTGCACGGCCACGCTTCCCTGTTAGCATCCAAGATCAAAGCATAAATATGCCTTGAGCTTACGTCGAGCAACTCATGAAGTTTATTGTTCTACTATCAAAGATGCACAAAGAGCAAAGAAGCAAAGAACATGGTGGATGAAGTTCAAAAAGTGAGAACATTCTCTGGTTCCGCAGTAACCGCAGTAACCGCACACAAGTAAGATGCCAACCATCAACAACGACTGCTGACTGTGCTCGTCTCATGAAACTCCAATATACTGTGAACATGTACGATGCTTGTGAGCAGTTGCACCAAATTGGCTGACAGCTGGACCCCGCATGTATAAGCCCTGCATGTATAAGCCCCGCGTGTATAAACCCCACCTTCAGTCTCACCTACAAAGTCGGATACATGTCCCTTCCTCCTACGATTGCCATTGTTCTAAATCATTAGAAGGAAGAAGACGGAAAAAGTCGTACAGAATCCATATCGACAAAACATATCCGAGATCACCAAAGGATCAACTGCGATGGCATCGAAGCTTGACATCGAAGTAAGCAACTGACCCTGTCGACACGCTTTAATCACTAATTGAACAACGATCAGACCTACAAAGGTAACATCATCAACAATGAGATCGTCCCAACACCCGAGACTCGCCATTCTATCAATCCAGCAACCGGCAAGGCCCTGTACGAAGTGCCGGTAGCCCAGAAGGAAGACCTCGATGTCGCCATCAAGCACGCTAGGATAGCATTCAAATCATGGAGCAACACTCCCTTCTCTGAGCGTGCTAATCTTCTCCTCAAATACGCCGATCTCATTGAATTCAACCGTGATGAGCTGGAGAAGCTTCTCACAACCGAACAAGGCAAACCGCTCTCCTTGTCCCACACTGAAGTAGACAGCGGGCTGCACTGGCTTCGGACCTTCGCCACCATGGAAATCAAAGACGAGATCCTCAAAGAAGACGACGAAAAGATTGTTTACTCGACTTATCCACCCATTGGCGTCTGCGCAGGCATTGTGCCCTGGAACTGGCCGATCCTGCTCGGCTTGGGCAAAGTAGGGCCCGCACTCATCACGGGCAACACTTTCATCATGAAGCCCTCACCTTATACGCCATACTGCGATCTCAAGCTCGGCGAGCTGGCTGCTCAAGTTTTCCCACCAGGCGTCGTACAGGTCCTCTCCGGCGACGACAACCTCGGGCCATGGATAACGGAGCATCCCGGGATCGACAAGATCTCCTTTACAGGATCCATCGCGACGGGCAAGCTGGTCGCCGCGAGCTGCGTGAAGACACTGAAGCGGTATGTCCTTGAGCTGGGCGGCAATGATGCTGCGATTGTGTGCGAGGATGTGGAGATCGACAAGTGTTTGCCGAAGATTGCGATGATGAGCTTCTTGAACTCTGGACAGATCTGCATGTTGACGAAGAGGATCTACATCCATGAGAAGATCTATGACGAGTTTAGGGATAAGATGGTGGAGTTCACGAAGGGAAATATCAAGACTGGTGCGGGGACTGAGGAGGGTGTCGTTGTTGGACCGGTGCAGAACAAGATGCAGTAAGTTGCGTTCAAAGTGGTGACTCGAACGCCGTGTTGACAACGACAGGTTCGACAAAGTGAAGGACATGTATGCCGAGATTGAGAGGAGCAACTGGAAGACTGCGTTGCCCGGATCCGCTGAGCAGTTCGAGCATGGGTACTTCATTACACCAGCGATCATCGACAACCCACCTGAGGACTCTCGAATCGTGCAAGAAGAGCCGTTCGGGCCCATCGTGCCTCTACTGAAGTGGTCTAATGAGGACGATGTTATTGACCGTGCGAACGCGCTGAAGACCGGTCTTGGTGCGTCGGTATGGGCCAAGGACGTTAAGCGTGCTGAGTACATGGCGAGACAGCTATCGGCAGGAAGCGTCTGGGTGAACTCGCAGTAAGTGCCCTTCATCAGTGTCTCATGCAACGTACTAAGAATGTATGTCCAGCTTCGATGTTGCTCCTGATGTGCCTATCGGAGGACACAAGGAGTCAGGTATCGGAATGGAGTGGGGTATCGAAGGTCTGAAGCATTATTGCAACAGCCGCAGCTTGTGGGTCTGGAAGAAATTTTTCGAGTGAGCTATAGCAACTGTGGCTTTTTTGTTGTGGACACCGTCGGTAGTATGTTGTTGTTGTTGCTGCTGTAAGTACGTTTGCTGTTTTCAAGGCCGAGAGACCTGCTGAACTATGTTTGCTCTTAATACAACCACTACTTGTAGTTGGATATCACTTACGATCCTGGCAGTTTTCTTAAAAGTCTTGTCGAGGCTGCGTAGCTTTTGTTCAAGATTTACGAGCCTATCAAATGAATCTCTGATTGATTTCAACGTGATGCGTGTTTCTGTGTCATCGATATCGTTAAGATAAGCAATGTCGCCTTTGAGACTATCGAATTTCGCCCAAGCTTGAGCAGTTGAGAATCTTCGCGTCATGAGAGTTCCTAGTAAGCCCATGAGCTGGCTGTTTTGTGCAAACTGATTATGAGATATATTCATGGAGAATGGAGGTGAACACTGTGGTTTACGTTAGACATGTGCCAAAGTGTTATATGTCGAGGGTCAAACACTTAAATTTGTACCTCACTTTCCAGTGTACACACAAAGCCCCTCCATTCCCATACGATGATGCGCAAACGAGCTTTGACGATCTCAAGCCAGTACTTTCTAGGGTCGGTGTAGGCCTCCTCAACTATGTGGGCATCCCGTAGCCCATCGTCAGTACTGTTGTCGTCGCTGTTAACGTCGTCATCATTGTAGCCACTGTCTAAACTCAATGCCATCGCCGTCGTCATCGTAAAGACGCGTAAAACAATACGACATCCACGTAGTATTGCTTGCACCAAATACAATCAGTGATACTTGAGCCTCATAGATTGCGAAATACCCAGAGTGGGTCCCGGTAGTTCTCAGAAGAGCTGTTCCAGAAGTATGTGGAGACTTGATGGTGTCTAACCTCAAGATATAGTACGGGACGTGGAAAGCTAGCCCAGAGGTTACGAATTTATCCTGATGCTTTGTTAGCTGCATTTTGACAGGATATAGACTCTAGCATACCGTTATGCAAACACTGACGTTAGTCTTGAAAGTGACGTAATTGACAAGAGTACTCCGTAATGCTTGCACTTGGTTGTGTCCAACTGTGTCGACAAGAGCAAGTAAGTAGTCTCTGTCTGGATTGGATATAACGCTGAGGAATGATTAGCGTAGTGCTTATGTGCGGAAAAAGGTCTGTCTTGTAACACTCACATCGCTTTATGCTGATTCTGAGATTTATCAGGATTAGCTTCTAGCTGCATCAAGCTCAAGGATAGCTCTTGAGCTGTGACTCGTTCTGAGTAGTGTGTATGTGTTCCAGGTCTACAACTCAACTAGACACAAGCTTGCGGCTAAATAGTCGGGCTCTTTGACAACTTGAAGAATGTCTTTACATTACAAATATCTTGGAAAGAGAGATTCTGTGAGGGTTTGTTGAGCAGAGCACTCAACAAGTCTAACTTGACGCTTTGCTGCATAAGCCTTTCAACAAAAGGTCAAACAAAGTAGCTTTGACGGTCCGTGAAAACTCTATGCCTCTGCTTTGGTGCTTCGAGATGCTCAGGTATCCGTTGCAATGTACCTGAGCCAAGTTTGACTTGAGCACTCTGTTCGCTAGCGGTCCGTTGCAGTGTCTACCAGCGGCCTGTTGCAGTGTTTGCCAACGGCCCGCTGCACTGATAGTCCAGCTCATTTGGTTAGTTTGGTTTGCTTCACTGCTATCTCCTTCTACTATATAGACCCGATCAATCCTCGCCATAGCCAAATAGACCAATCAAGACTCTCAACCCTTCCACAGGTTATGAGCCATCTCTCTTCAACGAGCTAGCAACCCAGTGCACTCAGCAGTTACGCGAGTGTCATTTTGGGAGCTTGCGATGTTGTCGGAGCAGCCTTTCCGCAGCCACTACTGTAGCTATCCGTCCAATCTTGCGGAGCTACACCACATTGAGCCAGAATCCTCCTACAACAACATACCAACACCAGGCGCAGCAAAAATGGCTCCATTTGACGCCTCTGCTGTGCCAGCGCTTGACAAAACAGGTACTAACTTATGGCAATGGGAAGTAGCGTTCAAGCTATTTGCCTGAGCCAATGCCTGCAACGACCTACTCAGCAGAGTATGGACTGAACCTATTGTCAACCCCCTTGTCTATAATGACAAACCTACCACAACGGGAACCTCAGCTATCCCAGATCAAGCTACGCTGGTCACTTTACAAGCTCGCATTTGCGCTGACAATGCCCATAAATATGAGCAACACAAGCGTGCTCTCGCAGAGCAAACCAACTGGAAGCAAGCAGATGCAGCCCTCCGCCTTGCTATCCTCAACACTGTCCCACGGGATATCTTTGAAGGTGTACTCCACCTCTCTGTTGACGCCCAGTACAAGGCTATCATTGCCCGCTTTTGCGAGAACGGCGTCGCCAAAGAGTGTACTATCTGGGGCAACTTCTTCAGTCTCCGAGCACATCACTGCCCTACGACAGCGGTGTTTACCGACCAATTCACGGCAGGACTTGCCAAAATCAATGCTATGGACTGTACTATCACCGAGAAGTGTGAGGTCTATCAGTTCATCCTCGCTATACAGGAAGCGTACCCAGAGTATGCCCGCAATCGACGCGCAGACCTTTGCCGCAACGTTATCCCCAAGGTTGACCAAATGTGCAACGAGCTCAATGATGAGGCTCGCCGCAACGACCCAGTCAAGGTCACCTACGCTACCATGAAGCAGAAGGCAGGTAACGGCAACTATAGCAAGTCAGGGGGTAACGGAACCAATGGCAGCGACAACCCTCAACGTTGCAGCTACAACAACAACCACAACAACAACGGTTATTGCAGCACTCGCAATGGCGGCAACAACAGCCAGAAGCCGTCACAGTCCACTGACCATTCCCGTGGCCCCAAGTGTAAGCACTGCGGTCACCCACACGCTGGTGCCGGTGACAACTGCTGGTACACCTTCCCAGAGAAGGCGCCACAAGAGTGGCGTGAGCGTAATGCTGACAGGCTTAAGAGCAAATCGCAGAGAGCTGGCGCCAACGCAGCCATCGTTAGCGTCAACACTGCAATGAATAACTTCACTTTTGCTACTGTGCAACTCTCCGACGACGTCCTACACAAGGCCAACGACGGCGCATACCACGATTGTCTCATCCTCGACACTGGTAGTACTGACCACATCTGTAACGACTACAGTAAGTTCGTCAAATTCAACCACAACCCCAACTACCACGCAATTATCAACACCAGAGCTGGTCCCATACACATTACACGCAAAGGTACAATCACTGTTATGGTTGCTACCTCTAGCGGTACCCTCCACACTGTGACATTCAACAACATTCTCTACGCGCCGGATATGTTTGTATCAGTCCTATCACACTCCAAGCTCAAGACTAAGAACCTCTACTATCACGGCTGGCACAATGCTCTGTACCTCAGGCCAAACGATGTGGAGGTAGCCTTCATGCCGGAGATTGATGGAATACCTACACTAATACTCGCCAACAATGAGACTGAAGCAGCTCAGGGGATTGCCTTTGCGGCAGTACACTCTACAAAACAAAGCTCTGTCTTAACGCCTATGCGCAACATCACTCTCTATGAGCTACATGAGCTGTTTGGCCATGCCAATGTCTCTAAGTTGCGGGAATTAGTCAATACCACTACAGGCTTGCGCCTTACCAACACTGATGACTTCTCCTGTGAAGTTTGTCTACTAAATAAGTCCCAGCAAAAGGTCTCCCGACGCTCCCCAAACCGTTTGACGAGCCTGCTACACCGTGTCCATGTTGACATCGTTGGACCCGTTAAGCCCACCGGCGTCAACGGTGAGCAGTACTGGATACTCTACACAAACGACTTCTCTTGCTATCGATGGATCAACGTCGTAGATTGTAAGGCAACCATTGAAGGTGCGTTTTTGCGGTATCTTGACCGCATGGAGACGCAGCACGGTGTATGTGTCGCCATTATCCACACAGACAACGACACTATGCTTATCAACAAGACCACGCGGCGCTCTATTGAGTCTAAGGGTACAGTCTTTGAGTCGTCAACCCCATACACTGCACATCAGAATGGTGTAGCAGAATCCAGCAATTGTCTGGCTGGGTTACGCTCCCGTTGTATGGTCAACGTGGTGTCACACGTCCCTAAGACTATGTGGCCATATCCCTCTTGTTATGCTATTGACCTTCTCAACCATACTCTCTCATTGGCACTTCCAGACAGTAAGACCCCGCAACAGTTGTTACTTGAACACATGCAGGTCCTTAACCCAGTGCCTAATCTGAGCACTCTCCGCACCTATGGGGAGGCCGGCTACGTCCATACACCTGCTCAACTCCGTCAGACTGGCGCCAAGTTTGACCAACGCACCATAAAAATGTACTTTGTAGGTCAAGAGGGCTCCCAAATCTACCTCATGTGGGACCCTGTCGATGACAAGGTAATCCATACCAGCTCAGTGTTGAAGTCGTACTTTAAGCAAAGCTCGTAAGCACTATTCGATTGGTTCTCGAGGATGAACTCTGGCTCTGGAACAGTAGGGGTAAGTCGCCTGGGTGAAACACCTAACGACGGCTTGGGGTAACAATGAGTAGTACAGGCAATCTGTCTAGCTCGAAGGTTGGTTGAGATCCAATGACAAACTTAATTGACGAGGTTGAACACAAACCATAAGGGTTGTATTCCTACACATATATATACAGTTCACCAGATCTGCTCGTTGACAAGCAGAGTTGGTCCTGGCCAATCCGGATGGATTGCGGTTCGTCAACGAGCATCGTACCATGTTCGTTGACGAGCATCATGTCATGCTCGTTGACGAGCACTCACGTGACCTTGCTCGTTGACGAGCTCCGTCACGTGTGTCAGCTCGGCTGAGAGCAATCCTCTAGGCGCCGGCCGGGCGGCCTTGCCTTGCTGCACCTTTCCCCCAGGCCTCCGTGTTTGGTTGGCGGTTACTTATTGCTTGTTGTCCTATCGTGGGACGTAGGATTGTAACACTCAGTCACTTGGCCTAGCGACAACCTCGTCACAGTCGAGACTGACAGACATCTCCCACCTGTCAACAGTGACGCTGAGAAGCCCATCTCAATAACGTTCAGACCCCTGAGTCTCCTCACTCCACCTACAATACACCACTCACCTCCAGTCAATCAAGAAGATAGAGAACCTGGGGGTGGAGAAATCAAACAACCTGGGGGTGACAATAACAGCCATGACAACGACGCGCCCAAGATGGGCGGTGTAGACTTCACTGCTGACAAGGTTGCTGACAATGACAATCAATCAATCGACTTGCAACCACCTACTGTGCAAACGCGTCGTCCCAAGGCACCACGCCACCTGGACATATCCGCTGCCGTAGAAAACCGCAATATTATTGATGGTCCATGGAAGCAACGTCCCACAACAAAGACGGCTGCTGCAATCGCCCTCTACAATCCACATATCCCAGTTGCTCTTGCACGGTGTTTTGCAACGGCGATTGTCCAGGCCCCATCGGCCACAAGGTTACAGTTTCCACCTGAGCCTGTCAACGGCAAGCAAGCCCGTCAACACGTCTACTCCAAGGACTGGCTCCTTGCTGAGGCAGAGGAGTATAAGTCTCACAATGATAACGGGATGTGGGACGTAGTCAACATACTCCCGCCAAGCATCCAAGCACTGCCGACGAAATGGGTATACAAATACAAGCTCAAGGGCAACGGTGCTCTTGAGCGATTCAAGGCACGCCTTGTCATCTGCGGCAATCGACAGGATGTCGACCTCTGGCTTGAAACCTACGCAGCAGTTGCCCGCGCTACAACACTCAAAGTGCTACTCGCTCTGGTCGCCGCCCTTGACCTAGAGTGCAACCAAGCGGACGTTGTCACAGCCTTCCTCAACAGACACATGGATAGCGATGAAGCCGTCTACATTTGTCTACCGGACGGACGCCTGGCCAAGCTCTGCAAGGCCCTATACGGTCTCCGTCGCTCTCCACGACTCTGGTATGAGGAGCTCTCTTGCTATCTCGCCTCAATCGGTTTCCACCCGCTTGAGGCTGACCAGTGCATCTTTCTCAACGACAACGGCTCCATCATAATGGCTTACGTTGATGACATTATCTTCATCACCCAGACTTGCTCTCCAATGGAGGAGCTGAAGTCCCGCGTCTACAGCAAATACAAATGTCGCAACCTGGGCCCAATCGCTCATTACTTAGGTATTCGAATACGTCACGATCGTGCTAACCGAGCTATAGAGCTCTCCATGGAGGCTTATATTGACAAACTCATCACTGATTACGACCGTCAACACGCTCAGCCGCGCCACACTCCGACCAACGTTAGTTTGCTAGCTCTCAAGAACCACAACGACAATGTCCCACAACAGGAGTTGACACGTTACCAAACTATCATTGGCAAGCTCCTCTACCCAGCCACGCAGCTCCGTCTCAATGTCTCCTTCCACATTGGCTACCTTGCGCGCGCTATGAGCAAGCCCACTCCACGTCACTACAACTACGCATTACAAGTCATTGACTATCTTAATACCACCAAGGACCTTGTGATGACGTACAAGGCGCCAGCTGGTACCTCTCTCAAGTTTGACATGTTCGCAACAATGTCTCCAACGGGTGGCAACGTCAACCTGGACCTTCACGCATACAGTGATGCATCGTTTGCAGATGGAGAAGACCGTAAGTCTACCTCCGGGTACCTCTTCAAGCTTGCCGGTGGTACAGTCTGTCACAAATCTGCAAAACAACGATTGGTCACTACTTCAACTACAGAAGCTGAATACATCGCCCTCACGATAGCTGCAAAAGAAGCTACGTGGCTCCATCGACTACTACACCAGCTTTGTTACACCTCAGACGACACTCACCCAATCCTCATTTACGGCAACAACAAACCTTCCATTAAGCTCCTGCAAGCCAAAGGCCATCACGAACGTACTAAGCACGTTGACCTCTATTATCACTACATCAAGGAGCGCGTCCGTGATGGCAGACTAAGGGTACAACACATCCGCACTACAGCAATGGCTGCCAACGGCCTCACAATGCCGCTTGAATGGGTTGCCCATAATTGCTTCCTCTCCCAGGTTGGTCTCACAAAGCCAGCCATCACGACCAGGATAGATAACCCAAGGATGCGATACAGTGGGTAGCAGGATGGACAGTTACGCACACAAACCACGGTACAGGTACCAGTAGGTTGGGGAAATTCTGATCTTCCACTCATTCACTGTGGGGGTGTATTTGCTAGCGGTCCATTGCAGCGTTTGCCAACGGTCCATTGCAGTGTCTACCAGCGGCCTGTTGCAGTGTTTGCCAACGGCCCACTGCACTGATAGTCCAGCTCATTCAGTTAGTTTGGTTTGCTTCACTGCTATCCCCTTCTACTATATAGTCCCGATCAATCCTCGTCATAGCCAAATAGACCAATCAAGACTCTCAACCCTTCCACACACTCCTCAACCCAACTCATCTTTTGATGGGTTATTTCCTCTTGAAGCACTGTGATTTGGCTTCACGAGATCTTGCAAAGTTTCCAGCCTTTGCGAGTCCCGCAGCATCAGGTAGACTGACAGAGCTGACTCCTGAACACAGTTTTATATTATCATAAGTTTCAAGGACAGGAAGCACATAGGCTTGTCCGAAAGTATTAGTCACGACATGGTGCCCATACATCTCCGAGTTTGCAACGTGAAGGGCCCATGCACCCCGAATCTCCCTAGGAAACTAAGGCCTTTGTGTCAGTGCAGAAATTGTGCGAGAAAGGCAGCGATATACCTTTGCCTTCAGCTGTCTTTAGCACATAAGCATCGAGAAAGCATCCACTTTGTTCCAAACATACATCGGTGGACAGTTGGGGGAACTCTCCACGACGTGTGCCAGCAGCAGGAACAAGGAGTAAGACAGGATCGGAGTGATAGCGTGCACATTTGGCTTGGTTGCTCTCAAGATTGGATGGGTCTCCGAAGCACTCTCGCTTGTCAAATTTTAAGTGAGAGCAGCTCGATTGGGTTGCGGATTACGCACGCTGAATAGGGCCTAATTGTGAGTTATTTCTGCGCGCCCAGCCTGGACCTCAAGCAACTGTTGCGTGTCCAGCAGTTGAACGATCACGTTGTTGTCAGAAGTCCATTCCATCACATCAAATGCGGTCTTGGGTTTCTGCCATGACGTTCTGTTTGCTTTGCGATAGCCGGTCGTGAATCTGTAGAGCGCATGGTACGTGGCCGGCGGTAAGACCGTAAAATAGAATTTTACCATTCGCATACACGACCTGAATGATATCGCCGAAGGTGCCTTGTCGACCTGTATAAGAAGAATCCACACATCTCGTTCAATGCGCTTTCTATGTGCGGTGAACAGAAGGTGACCACGTGCAGTTTTGCTTCCGCTTCGGTTTTCCCGAACATCATGGCTTGTATCCCACAAGATTTTGTGTGTCTCTCTTGGACAATTTTGGCAACTCTCCCTCTGAGACGTGAATTGATGTCGTAACAGTGATCCAGCTCATCAGGTCTAGGATCTAGGTCGAAGTAAAGAAGGCGCTCCAGCCGTGGCTAGTGACAGGTCAGTCGTCTCTTCAGACACATGATCTATCTCACCGTGAATCAGAGAAGTTTTCTCGCAACAAGTCGTGCTCGAAACGCTATACACCTTGCGGTATATCCTCTACGCATGGGAAGATGAAGAGAGCTCAGTTGTTGCAGCAAAAGCCGGGTTCGACCTCGATGGTCTGAAAGTGGATACATCGAACTACTCCGATGTGAATGTTATTGGCAGGCGGAACCAATACTGGGGCGCGAGGCTTCCGCTACTGGTTGATATCTTAGAGGAGTCTAAGCTGAAACGTCGGATCCGGGCATGCTTCAGGTGACATCGACACAAGGCGTGTGTGGTCATGCTGGTTTTAACTCTCATTGTGGGCTTTGTGAGTGCGATTGTCGGACCATCGATGCAAACCCTGGAGAAGCCGGACCGTGTAACGGTGGAGATGGCTTTGAACACTACCGGCTCGAATAGCGGTCGAGGTCTATGAAACAAGTCCGGCTGGTGGAGCTTCCATGCTGAAAACCTCTTTGTATCAAAAAACGCTCATTGAATTTATGCTCCGCTGCGTCTGGATGGTGAACAAGACATTGTTAGCTACGATGGTGTTGACATGTGCTGAAGCAACAGCAAGCCGATTACAGCGGGGCAGCACCACGCAAAATCTTGGCATCACTAGCGCGCCCACGATCGCAAAATTCCGCAAGCACCAACCTCGACTCAACACCACATACGCTCTACGCAGGATAACCACTTCTTTGCGCTCTCCCACACATCAAAAATGGCACCCAACACCGTACGTACACTGCTTTGCTGTCTGTGATCACGCATCGCACACATCCCATAAGATGTGCAGAACAGTAGGCTAATACGACAATGTAGAAGGCATCGGCCAAGAAGGCACAGAAGGTGACGAAGAAGTTCATCATCAACTGCAGCCAGCCCGTCAACGACAAGATCTTCGACATTCAGGCTTTCGAGAAGTTTCTCCACGACCGCATCAAGGTCGAGGGCCGCACCGGTAACCTCGGCGATGTCATTCAAATCTCCCAGCAGGGCGATGGCAAGATCGAGGTCATTGCTCACCAGGAGTTCTCTGGCCGCTACCTGAAGTACCTGTACGTACACCTGCGGCGCATGCGCAGCGTTGTAAACCGTGTGGAATGGCAATTGCTAACGATGCGCAGTACCAAGAAGTTCCTCAAGAAGCAGCAGCTCCGTGACTGGCTCCGCGTCGTCTCCACCTCCAAGGGTGTTTACGAGCTCCGCTTCTTCAACGTCGTCAACGACGAGGCTGAGGATGACGACGAGTAAGCGCGACGTCTTTATTGACGGCTCCGCACAACACGATGTCAAGATGAATGGGTCGCGTAATATCACGACCAGGACAACGAAATGCTCTTCATTGAGCTTGCGGGTCCAGGAAAGGGAAAGAGCGGTGTTCCGTTGGGTAGATAGCACGATCAAACGAGTTGGTGCATCTGCCACATGCTGTATATATGCAATGCTTTAGTGATGTCGGCTCGTTCATCGTATTGCAAAATCACCCACGTTTACCAGAATCCATGACGGAATCTCGTTCGATCCCGCTTTGCGCGAATTGTGGAGAGAAACAGTGCCGAAATTCACCACCACCTCACCGGTCCATCAGGTGGTCGTAAGGCCTTGCCCCTCCATCTAAAAATCCTTTACACATTCTTCTTGCACTAGCATAGCATGCAGCTCTAAGTAGAGCCTCGTCAACTCCGCAAGATGTGCAAGGACGGGTACAAACGAGTATCCGCAAGTGTACCCGTACTCATAGCGTGGAACATAGCGTCATGGATCGGTGGATGTAAGTTGTGCGCAGTCTACATGTCATGTGTAGACTGTCTACTCGCTAGAGGAGTCGATGACAGCCAGGTTGTTGTCCATCGTGGACTGATGGCTAGTAGAATGCAAAACCTGGATGCTGTTGTGGAGCTGTCGTGGCGAGCAGTACGAGACAATTTGTCAAGAAACATCTGACTGTGCTTGAAGTTGATATGTGTATGGCGACCAGTGGTAGGATCGGCGATGTTGAGGGGTCCTTGAGGGCTGGGAAGGTTGTGTGAGTTCATGATTTACGGCACGTGCAAGGGAGTACCTGAGTGATTAGCGCAATTTGTGAGAGGGAGGTCATCGCTGATATGCTGAACAATGCACGTCTAGGAAAGTTTACCCGGTGCATCCTTCAGACGGTCTGGAGTCTCTGCATGTGGGCCATCATGAGAGCCTGGATGGGCTTATACGAGTGCCAGCGAACGCGGGCAGTGGAGCGGTTGCTGGGCGGCCTCACGGCATGAGAACTCGCAACGAGCACATCGTGAGCCGGCAGAGTGAGCCTCATGAAGCGACGTCGGAGTACCATGGTACCTAGTGATGGAAAGAATATCTTTAGTCAGCCCGCAGAGGGGTAGATTGGTACCAGATCTTGATCAAGGCCCTAAAGAGCCGCAATGCAAGGCAAGATGGTTAACGGGAAGGTTAGCGACACGACGATAAACCTTGCCGGGAGCCATTCCGCAGATGCTGCAGACACGCTATGAACAAAGGGTTTGGGAAGTGGTGAGATCCTGGCCGATGTGTACAGCAGATGGTGACATGGCACGTCGTGAGTACGAAGGGATGGCGCCAGAGCACGCAAAGTCTCGACACGATGACACTGAAGCAACGCGTGGCATGCTGAGTGTGGCAGATCGAACGCAAACAGTTGCAGTTGCCCGATGGGGATTGTGGCTGCGAACACGAACTTGGTTCAGGGATGAGAAGCACATGGCGAGAGCTCGAGATTCCCATGGTTGACTGGTTTGACGAATGAGATTGCAGATGAACTTCCTAATTGGGACAGGGTGCACTTGGACCTGCGGCTTCAGACAGCGACGCACGCCGGCATGGTGTCCGATTGATGGCCCCGGCAATAAGCGAAGTATCGTAAGAATAATGGCTTGGTGTTGTGATCTGGTCTTTTCAGGACTCGCCATCCTGAGATGAGCAGCCTCGGACTCAGATGCCCCCTCGGGCATGTCCGACGGAGTACTTAGGTACTTCGGGATATTCGGAGTCAAATCGGCGTTGCCCCTGTTGCGCGATCGAGTAAGGCGGCGATGGTTGCAGTGCAATCTAGAGCCTCAACATGTGGGTTCCTCAGCCTGCTCTGACACGAAAGCAGGTCAGACAAGCAAGGCACCGGGTCGGGCTTGCCAAAAAGTGTAAAAAAACTGCTCGAGTCTTGGGAGCAGGTGGGGCTGTCTCATGCCACGGGCGCGAGTTGATGTTCTGTTTGGTCCACAAACCCTGGAAAATTTTCCCAGCATTACATAACGCCGATGTCTTGGCATCAAAATCGCGATGCTCAGTCAGAGCATGACTGCGTTGATGGTGCTGCACAATTAGCAGTTAGCAATGTCGGTCGAGTGCGCAGGGCGTGCAAGGTGTCATAAGAGGCTACTGAAAGAAAGTCAGGCGGTCATTTCAGCGGTGACGAAGTGCGTCCTTGATGTATGAGGGGAAGTTGCTCCGCACAGCGACTTCCACGGAGATGTTCAACATTCACCCAGATTGAGCAGCATCACAACGCCAATTTGCGGGGTGCCATGCCCCAAGAATCGAGTTGCAGCGTCAATTGCAAACGGAGGTCAACCCACAAATGGTGTCAGGTGGCAGCTGATCGTGCCGTGATTCTGGGAATTGAGTACCCCAGATGTCTTCCCTTGGTGAAGACATGAGGTTAGCATGATGCGTCGTGAATGTGGGCTTGAGGAAAGGCAGCCGTCGGCGAACAGCGTGTGTTGGCCGGGCACAAGCGAATCGAGCAAGCACGATGTTGCACTGAAATTGTGGCCCTGAACGAGCACTCCGAAACAGTCATTGTGTGATGCTATGGTGGTCTCGCTGTTTGTCGAGGCCGCTTGAGCGAGCGGTCGGCTCGGTTGACAGCGCAGCCAGCCTCATCACAACCGGCGCAAACGCAGCTGAGGGCCACTCTCTCGCAACTTGACGTCCAAACTCAACGGAAGCCCGACAGCGTGGCGTCGCTTCAGAGGGCGATCACGAGAGAACGGCAGGCCGTGCGCGCTTGCCTCCTGACCCAAAAATTGCAGAAGGCGCAGGGGTATGCCTGCTGCACCTAGACTAGCGTCTTCACGTTGAAAGCTTGGATCTTCGTCCCGAATGGCATCATGCGAAAGGCGCTTGAGGCATCCAGTCATGGAATTTCTCTCAGGTAAAAAGTCAAAACGGTTCTGACGACTTCTTTATAAGGACCTGGCTTCCCCAGACGACAGCTGCTCTTTGAGATTGACCCTTCCCCAGAAGATGTTTCTGCCACAACACCTTACACACCAACTAAACTCGTACAAAATCAACTCTTGAAGCATAGCGCCACAGCACACTTCGTTGCATTCGCTTCCCCGGACCCAAGTCATAACGTCATTGGACAGTCGCCCACCTTCCTGCAGCGCAGCCTACGTCTCAACTGCACCCCAGAGTTTTCGTTCAAGCCATGCCAGGCCGTTTGCTCCAGTCCCTCGCTAGGGTAGCGCCATCGCCGTTGCCCAAGCTCGACAACCACAAAACCACCACTCCCCAGCCGCTGTTCCCTCCTGTTTACTCATACGCACCACCAGTCGAAGAGAGGAACAGGTCACAGGAAAACCTCATCATGGCTCGTCTTCCATTCGTGCGTCATCACAGCCATGATGGCACCAAGAAGGGTTCGCCAAAGGGTACTCCCAAAGGCACCCCAAAGACCAGTCCCAAGCTCGAACCTCATGTGGCTGCATCCATGAACATGAATGTGGAGTCGCCACCAGTCGTGTTCTACAACAGCCCACAGACGTCAGCGGGCGCTATTTTTACTGGCCAGCTCCTGCTCAACGTGCATGAGCCCCACATCACAGTCGACAAGTTTGAAATGAAGCTCCTCGCAATCGTCACAACCAAGAAGCCAGTCGCCCAACATTGCAACGACTGCTCCAACCAGACCACCGAGATTCACAGCTGGGATTTCCTAACACACCCCACTTCTCTTCGCCATGGACCCCACAGTTACCCCTTCAGTCACTTGCTCCCAGGTCACCTACCAGCCACAACCCACGGCAGCCTTGCGACCCTCAATTACTACCTTTCAGCGGTAGCGACCACCTCCAAGGGTGACAAGATCACTTACAAGCGTACTGTCGATATCAGGCGTGCAATCTTCCCCGGCAATGAGAAGCACTCCATTCGCATCTTCCCACCGACGAACCTGACTGCTTCGGTCAAGCTCCCTCCGGTCATCCACCCGATTGGTGACTTCCCTATCGAGATGCGCTTATCAGGAATTGTCCAGAACAAGGCCGATTCACAGACTCGCTGGAGGCTCAGGAAGCTTAATTGGCGCATTGAGGAGACCCAGAAGTTCATTGCTCCAGCCTGCTCCAAGCACATATCCAAGGTTGGCGGCGAGGGCAAGGGCGTTCTCCACGAGGATGTTCGCGCCATTGCGACTGAGGAAGTCAAGACTGGCTGGAAGACCGACTTCGAGCGCGGTGAGATTGACGTCGAGTTCAACGCCGCTTGCAACGTTGCCCTTAAGCCACTCTGCGACATGGACAGCCAGAGCGGCATGAGTGTTAAGCACAACCTTATCATCGAAATGGTCGTTGCTGAGGAGTGGGCTCCGCTCAAGAAGCTTAGCCAGGCCACTCCTACCGGTGCTGCACGCGTCCTCCGCACCCAGTTCCACCTTGTTCTCACCGAACGTTCGGGTATGGGCATTGCTTGGGATGAGGAGCAGCCCCCTGTCTACGAAGATGTCCCCGCCAGCCCACCCACATACATGGACGACGTCGAAATTCAGTTCCCCACCGCTGACAGCACCACCACGTCTCGCTCAGCATCCTTCAGCCTTGAGAGCTAAGCACGATACCCCGCATCACTACGACTTTAATACCGTCGGTTTCGGCGATTTTAACCCGCTTTACGAATTTCCTTCTCACGTCGATTGGCGATTCAACTTTGAGTTTCTGGTGGACTGTGTAGGATATACCCATTTGCTTGCCTTATGAGGGCTTTTTCACCACTCTTGTTTACGCACAAAGCGCGGCGTTTTGGCAAGTGGTTGAGTTGAGCCTACATGAGCTCCTCTGTATGGTATACCACTGGCGTTTTGCATTATCAAAAAGTTCTCCATCATCATACATAGTAATACACAGCAGCATAGCTGCAAAATTGTACAACTCTACAACTTCATCTTCACATGCAATTGGTGGTGTTCGCTATACCCGAGTCATACAACACTAGCTCCCACATCATTTCGGCATCAGAGTGCGCAATATCAATGCAAGCTCACGCCATCCTCCCTTGCGTCCAGAACACACCAAACTCACCGCCGCAAAATTCACCTACATCACCAGACAGCGCCACAAAACCTACTCATCAGATTCAGCACCCCTACCACGCCGCAAACGGCTGCCAAGCCACATCCCACAACCACTAGAAATTTCTTTCTAGCCCACGACATCCACATTTTGGGCAAGACCTTTCTGACGAGCAACCAGCCCTGTCCGTCCGTGCATACCCGTCGCTAGAAGAGATCTCGAACGCACTGCGGGACCTAAGGGACCCACAAGTCTAACTGGCACGCCAGCATAAACGCAAGGACGCACAACTGCTTGCGCACAAGCACACACGTCGAGAAGTAAGCCGACGACCAACGTGCGCGTTTACTCGATGTCTTCACGTCTTCAGAACCCACACTGCGCGTCTATGACACATGGAAACATGGGCCCGGGCTCTAGAGACAGTGAATAGCAAAGTACCAACGCTTATGCAGGTGATGTGCACCTGGACTAGGGTCTGGAAAGAAGAGTTCTGTAGTGCTTCGGGTAGACGCGCATGGTTAAGCATGAAGAACCGTATGGGAACCCGAATTGCATGCCTCTTGCGGGTGCAGGGAGTTGAGGCTGAAGAGGGAGGCTGAGGCGGGATAGGGTTGCCTAATTGGGGTGTGCGGTGGTGCGGCTCTGCGGGGAAGTATCCCGGCACTTCTGGAAGGGACCTGGACAAAACCTGTATCGAGGTCACGATCGCGGTATGGAGGTTGATGGTGTGAGATGGGATTTGCTGCCCAAGCATGGGGATCGTGGAGCCTCAACATGGGAATCATGGCGTGAGGGGGCCCGCCGAGAGGCGATGACGCTGAATATCATCATGATGGATGAGGACCTTGTAGAGATCCGCCGCGGCATCCATCATCCATCGCGCTCCATCACCAATGGCTACACATCATGATCGAACGAGGAGGTGGAGGGCCCTCGGAATCACGATGGAGTACATGAGAAGGTGAGTTCACTCCGAGGACCAGCTCGGAAGGAAAGACCGAACGAGGCTTGGCGGACTACACAGTGCGGCTCTTCCGAGCGATGGTTGATCGGCGTGTCACTGATAGCGGGAGGGACCGTAGTCGGTCTGAGCCCTGGAGAAGAGCGGGAGTAGTGCTGAGTGCGGTGATGGGTGCCGTGGCCACGTTTTGATACGCTGTATGAAATGCCGCAAGCAGATGCAGGGCTGGCGGCACAATGCTGACGGACTTTAACGATGAAGTACGCTGTCTGCTACGTTTCACGATCCTGGTGGTTCTCTGTACCATTGGTAGTGTCCATGTACCGTGGGGTCACGATGGTGCGTCCAGTTGGATATCCGTACCGGGGAGCGCATTTGAGCACTATGAATACTGAAAGCCGACGCACACCAGCACCGACTTCGAGTATTTGCTGTCGTTCAGTATGAGTGCGCATCGCTGCCGGAGTGCGCTGTCTGCCGCATTCTGTTATGTCACTGGTCCCTCTGCCGTAAGGTGGAACAACCTGGACCCTGATGTCGGAAACGCAGCTTGCCGCCGAAGCTCGACGCACACCGGCAACGACATCAAGCAGTGAATGCCACTAAGGGTGAGCGTGTGGGCGTGTGGGCGTGTATGGACGCTGCAGAAGGCCGCACACCGGCACCGTTACTTCACACAGGATGCCGAGCGGAATCAGTCTGTCAAAGCTGAGAAGGTGCGGACGGTGTTGGCCTGAAAGTTCATATTCAATCCGCATCATGTATTCGGATGACGGTCATAGAAGCCGAAGGACGCACACAAACCTTAAGCTGGGCGCACAGCGACACCGACCGTGCAATTGACACTTCTGCTTTCGGAATCGCACACCGAAGGTGAGGCATCACTACAGCGGGAACCAGAAGAGAGAAGGTAGAGACATCAGCAATGGTTGTTCCACGTCCAACAGCAGCTCAAGTCTGTTTGGCGGACTGCAGGAGAAATGAAAGGGTGAGCACTACACAATGCACATGACAACTTGAGAACACTGATTGAAGCACACCAGGGAAGAGGCTAGCTGGAAAGCCAATTGATAAAGGAGTAATATTTTGGACTCCATGCGGCAATCACTACTCTTCAGCTGGTTGCAGAAACTAACTTTATATACCATACTCAGCAATTGACGACACGCATTCGAGCGGCGCGCTCTGCGCGAAGAATCTCGAACATCTCGCGGGGTGCCATTGCTTCATCAGAGTCGATCGATGCACGGCCCGACTCATCCGTATCTGATGCATTGTCGCCCTCAGTCGCAGCAGTGATCAGTTGTAGGTGAGCTGTGACCCGAGCCTCGAGCCACTGTACGCGTTCGCGAGGTGGCGTAGCGACAACTAACTGCAACGACTCAATGCTTGAGCTGTCAGCAGATGGTATGCCATCCACGCCGTGGGATCTGACAACAGAGATAGCCTCCAGGGACGTATGCAGCCGCTTACGATGCTTGCACAAGACTGTGCGGCACAAAGGACAGGTATTCGACACCTTCATTCTGGAGTCACTCACCCACTTATCCAGGCACAGCTTATGGAACGTGTGCCCGCATTTCGTGAGCACAGGCTGCTCGGCTTCGTCTCGCTCTGACCCGTCGATCACGGTAACGTACACAGAACATTCGGTGTCTTTTGGAACCAACTCAGCAGGCTTGCAGAAAGTCGACAGCTCAACGCGTTCACCCACCCCTTGATACTCGACCTCGGTATCATCGATGCTGTACTCAATAGGGCGGATGAACGGCAATGGGAGGTGATCGTTGTGATGGCAATCCTCTCGTCGGAACGCGCGAGTAAAGGCGAGCATCTCCCTGAACCCATATCCCTCGCGGAGTTTCGGCAGCAGTCCATGGAACAATGCGAGGTTGATGCGCGTGGTGGTTTTACGGTTCAAGCGAGAGGCCTTGCAGATCTGTTCATGTGTCTCCAAATTGCGCAGCTCCGTTAACGTTGTTGAATACTCTGGATCTGCTTGGCGTTCTAGACGCATCACGGTCAAGATGAAAGCTGCTACCTCTAGAGACATGTCACAGATCTCGACGTTCGGACAACATGACTTGATATAGCCCTTCAGCTCTAAGTTAAACGCGGTGATCCGGAGAATTGCCGGGTCCTGAACCATGAAAATAGCTAAAGTTTCTACGCATCTGCGCAGTACTGAGGATCGTGTACCCACTTCTTGTGGTGATAAGTTTTCGACTGATGCTTCTGCGACCGTAAATAGGCATGCGCAGAGTTGGCGGATGACAGCACAATCCTCAGCATCGGACGGCGAGAGCTTAGGTCGGCGCTAGCTGGTGATTTCATAAACTTGGAGCGCGCGGCTGTTGACGGCTGAAGAGAGTAGATGGAGCATGGTGGGAATATGCGGTGCTGTAATCGAAGTGGAAGGAAGCAGCGGGAAGTGTTCTGGTGCAAAACGAGCTCATCATTGTGAGCGAAAGAAGGTGGCAAGACTGGTGAAAAGGTCTACACAACGCAGCAGTTCGGCTCTAAGATTATGGCTGCACACCCAATGTTGACCGATAACGAACCGACTCTTGAATACGACGACTCCGGGACATGCATTTGCATGGTACAGCAAGTGATAGTGAAGGTGAGATTGACAAGGTGAAGACGACCAAGCGAGTGGCCACTATCTTTCTTTAATTCCCAGCGCCAGCTGGGATACTACATTCCTCTCAGGATTACAAAAAGCGGCAACGCTGAATTGGTCTGTTGTTTGGCATTAAAGTTGTGGTCACCACGTGATGACTACAAATAAGTGAGGAAAGAAGCTCTGCGCAGCAGCAGAGGGATCTACTGTGGTCCCCCTTAAAGGAAAGAGTTCCTGTCTTGACAAGAGCGAGGAAAATGGCTGGCGACAGCAACAGCAAGAGAGAGCAACAACGATTGGAAGCTTCCATAATGAATAGCGACTGAAGGGTGACAGTGAAGGAGTACATGTCAATGGATCGAGGCAACACAACCTAGGTGAAGTGAGCCTTAAGTCTCTTAGCTGGCTCTGGAAATATTTTGGGCCATGTGGACGTCCCAACAGATCTGCATTGTTATCAAGCTCCAGACTCCACACCCACTTATAAGCAACGAAACAGTACACAATGGCAACCAAGACGATGCGCGACCCCAACCCGCTTTTCCTGCAGCAGCACATCTACGACTGCCTCAACATCCACCACTGCGAGCCTGAAGGAAAGGAGATTAGGACCTTGACTGCTACAACTCACTCCTCTGATTGTAGTACTCTGCACTAACAACGCTGCTCTGAAGGCAACATCGTTTTTCTTCTAAAGGCAAGTACGGTCCTAAGGTCGAACCAGAGGTTGTGTCAATTCCTTTGACCGAGTGGCGCGAGTACGAAGACGGAGAGGATTGCAACCTAGATGACGACTACGATGACGATTAAATCATGAAGCAGGACATCAGGGTTGTTGTCCACGAATCCTACGGCTCGTTCGGTACTACAATCGAGGCTGACCACCGTATCACGGAGATCTTAACCCACAAGGTGAACCTGATGGTGAGGGACCTCTTCGACTAAGAGATTGGTTTGCATGCGCAAGAGCTGTCCCATGAAAGCCCAGGCTCTTGATTTCTTGCTACTCTCCCGAGAAGGAGGAATCCAGGGGCTTTAACAGCGCTGTGAGCCTACCATGCGCGCGCCTCGAAGACTTCATGGCCCACACCGTGTGCATCACTTAACACTGTTTGTATCCGCGGGTTGTATGGCATTGTTAGTGGGACAAGGCTATTATTAAAGTCCTTAGCAATGTCAAGCGGCCGCCCTGTGGTTTGCTAAGGAAGATCAAACTCAAAGCGACATTGCTTGCACGCTAGTCATCAAACCCAAGATTGTCTACCCACTTTTCTTCTGCTTCTAAAGCTTCATGGATCGTTCTCTCTCCAAAAGTCAGATCTACCAAGTCTGCATCAGTATGGACCCACTCCAACGTCGAACCGGCGACGACTTCCAACGTTACCATACTATAGAAAGCAGAGTCGGTATCGCCGCGCTCGCTGGTATGGAAAGTTCGTCTTCTGTAAGCTCTGATGCTCACTCGTGTTGCAGAGAATATAGCATTCTTGATCCGACACCGGTATCATTCCGCCTTCGGCTCGATAGAAATATTACTTCCCACCGTCGAGGTGTGCGGCTGTAGTATGTTTTCGTTGTGTATAATGATTTTCAAAATGTGCGGACCACCCCCCACATTTGGCGCACAGTCGCGGGTACCTGCAGGAGTATCCACCTGGCAAGAAGTCAAGCTGGAGGTTTGGGTGACGGGTAGGATATATTGTTGCGGTATCGGTTGGTCCGTACAGTGTCTGACTATACCCCTGACCATTACCCTGGACTAGTGTGTTACAGGTCAGGTATATAGTCATCTCCTCCTTAGCTAGATAGCAATCCAGCGCAGTATTCCATCGACCCGATAGTCCTACGTTATCGTTCACCGTAGCTATCAGTATTCTACAGCTGTCCACACCGCTACATATATAACGTGGGGCAGACCCTGACCCATACCTTCACAGCCTCTCACAGAAGCTACAGATCAGTCATCACGCCACAGATGTCATAACAATGGTCATGCTACAGTCTAGCTCTACCCTTTGACTTCTTCACTGTTAACATCTGCTGCTAGCTGGCCAATCAGGTGTTGTGTATTCTTGTGACCTGGGTAAAGCCTTGATGCGGTACCATGGGCAGAGTGGTCCGCACATTTTGAAACCCACCGATACAATTCGCACGTCCATTGTAGTGCACCGTAATTCCAAATCAAGCGTGGTCGTTAATACGGAGGGGCCAACTGGAAAATTTCTCCAACAATTGGAGCAGAAGATGAATAGAATAGTTTCTGAGTGTCTCAGATCTTTGCGAATAGTACAAAAAAGGTTGTTCAAGCTCGGAGAAGGAAAAAAGTGTAGCGACAGTCTTGGTCACTCGGGCTTCTTGAATCTGATGGATGATGGAAGGCTCGTTTCGGATACATGATGCCTTGGAGCAGATTGGACCCAGTTCTGGTCGTCTGTGGCGTCTAGGTGAAGAAGAGAGCGTGGATGGCTAACGCTTCACGCTGAATTAAAGCGAGAAATAAAACTCCACAGACATTGTGAACTTGTTCATTTCCCAACTTACCATCTTCGAACTACTAAACGCAAAATGATACCGCTTCAGCAGTGCATCCCGCGAGATGATTGAGCATTAAAACAATAAGGACAGTAACGTCGACCTGATGCCTCTGGCCGGTAGGTTTACCTTATCGGTGCTTGCCAAAATGCATGGACCCCTCTGAATCTGGCTCGCTACTGAAGTCCTCTACAACATACAGAAGCGAAGGCTTCCGAGTAGCTGTTGGTTGTCTGGTTGACAGTTGTGACAGCTTGCTAGACGTCATGCAAGGCACCAACATTAGTAATAGCCACTCACAAGCTTGTCCGCACGACTATACCATGGTGCAGATGTACTGATTGCAGCACTGTTCCAAGTCGAGGGGTGTTAATACATTTTGACAATCATTATGATCCATGGGCCTCTTCATATTTTGTCTGACCTGATACGGCAGAAGACAATGATTTCCTCATTCGCACCCGTTTCGCGACCCTCAGGCTGGAAGACCTCTTCATCCCTATGGCAGTGCAAAAAACCAACGAAGGCTCTGTCATTAAGAGCAAAATTGCAATTGACATGAATGATACAACCTCATAGAGCTTCGTCACCATTGTCAGCGTACAGGTCACGTAAACTGACTTAATTGAGGAGTTGGAAAACAAGGTGGATGCGATGGTTTTTCGCGCACTCAAGGATTGATACACAACCCGTGGCTTTCTGAGAAGCGCGCGAACATAATGATACGCCTTCTTAAACCTGCTGCTTGTGGAATGCCTTCGAGACTGAAAAGTAAGGGGCGATCCGTAGGCGGTCAATTTGCGTGAAGTGAAGGAGAGGCCTCGTGACGCGTTAGTCGCGCCCACAAATGTACTCCAATTGCTAATAACTTACTCTGTTTACCTCTATCCCACTGTATCTTCGCTCATGTACCTCGTCTCACACTCTCAGGACATTTATATCGCTCCTGTTCCTCCCAGCAACACATCCAACATGCCAGCGCCTAGAGCACCTGCGACACCTATGACGCCATCGATGCAGATGCCAACAGCGGTCCCAGGTCGGTCAGGCCCTCAAGGTCTGCCAGGAATTCCTGTCCCAGCGCTTGAAACGCTCGAGCAGCGCCTCTATGACCTCCTCGCTCCGCTCCGTGAGATCGACCTTGATGGCGACGGCGACGACGACCTTCCATCTCGCAAGGACGAGTGCAAGGCGTTGATCCTTTGCGGTAAGTACAAAAAAGTCTTATAAGGGTGTGCTAACATGTGCGCCAGAGAACATCGCCTTCCTCATCCGCCACAACCAGGCCAGCTACGGCAAGCACATCGAACCCCAAGACATCTCTTTCGCGACGAAGAACTGGGCCGCCAAGACGACAGGCAATGGTGTGGTGGGGATCGGTGTATTTGCTAACGGTAACGGCTTCTCACACACCATTTTGAGGGCAACTGTGGGAAAGGATGATTATGTGGTCGACAAGCTGGCTGAGGTGGCGGAGCAGCTGCTGCTGCAGTTCTTTCCCGGTATGTAAGGGCCATGCGATCCATCTGAGTAAGACCGCAACACTTGACAGTTTACAATGTGACCGATACTAGTGTGTGAGGATTGCCCTGTACTGGTAGTACATCGTGTGGATCTTTGCTCGGTCGTGCTGTTTGCTTGTCCTCCAGAGACTACTAAAGATTTCTGTAAACGACTCCCTCACTCTACAACCAACCTCTTCATGCACCTCACTAGTGATGCGCATCCCTACAGCCTGTGAGGTATCTAATTATATATTCCGCCTGGTCCTCTAGACATCTTTTGGGACACATGCTCCCAGTTGTGGTGATCGCATGTAGTTGTGCGGCGATTGTTCATGGACTTTGAGCTCCACAAACATACAGTATAATGTGAATTTGGTCCTTATCGTAACCGCAGTCCTTCGTAAAGAAGATGAGATGATAGGCGATCACGGAGAAAAAGACACTCCTCGCATGGACAACGTGGTACCACTACAACCACCCCTGCTGGTGTCTGAACCGGATTCAAAATCTGACAAGCTTCGAGTGGAGGCGGAAAATTTCTTAACAGCCGTCGCTCCCGCATAAAACGGGATAAGTTTAATCTTGAGGTTTGAATTGGAGGAATGTACTGTGTTGATTGAAAGACGCAGAGGACCTCCAAGATAGCTGTAATAGCGAGCAATAGGCGAGCATCTAACCACAGTGAGCATAGAACAGTGAGTTGATGCTGTAGACCTGACTTGTAGAGTATCAAAATCGTTACAGTTGACCTACTTGTATCCTCTGATTCGTGGACTGGGAGAGCTAACATTGTGGTATTGATTGCCTAAGGTGTCCAGCTGCTGCACGAAGTCGGTACATGCTTCCAGAACCGGACATGTCGCACCACGATCCGAAGGCGTGCAATTGCGTTACTTCGGCAGTTGGGAATTTCAAGAGATATGCATCTTACCGGTATTTTGTCCCTTGGTATATGTTTGGCGAAAGTTGCGAAGGCCGCAGCTGTACCAGCAACCAGCTTCTCAAGAGTTTGCACGAACCCGCCAAAAAGGCTTGAGTGGTACGAGAGCCCATTCCCCAACCAAAAATCTTCCTTAACGGTCGTGTCGTAGGCGACAGCTGTTAAGCCGCAGAAGAAATCGTACATCGATGCTGTCCATTGTCTGACAAAGAAGAATTAATATCAGGCATCGAAAATGCTGTCAATCGCTTTGACGATCATGATGCAGTTCACAACGACCAAACTTTGGACATCCACTGGGTCGATCACTTTATTGTGTGACGGTTTATGGAGTAAAGCGGTCATGTCTGCCACGTGTGCTGGTGCAGTGCTCTTGCCTGTTCCAATAGCACTTTCTGTCTGAACGACAAATACGTCATGTAAACAGACCCCGCTGGGGGTCGAGTGAGAGAGACAGAACACTAAACAACACAACAGAATATACTGATTTTACTGCTTCGCGCGGTTACCCCTGACTTACTGCCCTGCGCGGTTACACCTTCACTTATTGCATTTACCGCAACATATTCTCTGGCATCGATACTTCTTGCGACATATGAGAAGGCGTTGCGGGACGAGTATGGCTACACTGGTGGTCAGCCATAAGTCTAAGTCCCTGATGTTGCCGTTTTGTAAACATGAACTAACCTGGCTTTTAGATATTGGGACTGGTCTCGAGATGCGGAGCCTCAAAATCCGAACTCTATCAAGGTCTTTAAGGCCGCCATCTTCAACCCGGACACTGGCTTTGGCGGAAAGGGCAACTATGTGGCTTGATTGATTAATTGATTGATTGATTGATTGATTGATTGATTGATTGATTGATTGATTGATTGATTGATTGATTGATTGATTGATTGATTGATTGATTGATTGATT